TGAAGTTGTAAGTCTAATTTCATTTTCCACATATTCACTTAGATAGGATTTTTTGCAAGTTTGTGATAATTTTTGGGTGTTGCAGGAGTTTAAGGAATTGCACCTTGCAGGGACCAATCCCTGATCTTAGCAGGATATCCAATCTTGCTTATATGTAAGTATGGAATACTTGTTGGATGTTTTGAAATATGATGATATCTGGCAAAAAAAATTTTTTTTTTTTTAAGTTGTTAGTTTGATGAGAGTTGTACATTTCAGAGACCTGAGCAATAACAATCTTAATGGGTCCATACCACCCATGAATCTTTCTGATGATATCACAACAATGTAAGAACACTTGATCTTTTACAGGGTGTTGTTCCGGATTCTTATACAACAAACAATCTCATTTCATATGAAAAAAAACTATGCAGAGATCTGTCAAGGAATCAGCTTACTGGAACAATTCCTCCCAGCTTTTCAGGCCTTCCTAACCTACAAAGACTGTGAGGATTCTTTTAACCTTTCTTTTTGCTTCTTGTAAATGCAATTTTTACTAATTACTATTTGGGTGTCCTTCATGATTACAACTTTAAGGACACCAATATTTATGGCTGTTATTTACAATTATGATGTATGAAGCAAGAACACACTTATCTGAAACCATTTCCACTGCAGGGCTCTTTTCAACAATTCATTGAATGGCTCAGTTCCATCCAACATTTGGCAAAACAGGACTTTGAATTCGACTGAATCACTTACCTTGTAAGATCTGTTTGAATAAAACATTCAAATAGTAAAAAAGAAAGGTATAATCTTGCTCTAAATTCACATCTTCTCTGATACTGCAGGGATATGCAAAACAATAGGCTTTCAGGCATCTCAGGCAGCCTTACCCTCCCTCCAAATGTCACCCTTAGGTTCACTAACTACATATTCATGTCATGTTTGGGTATTTATTGATCATAAATTTATGGGACATGAAAAAACTTGTATAAATATTTTCAGCCTTCAAGGGAATCCTGCATGCACAAATGCCAGCATCAGTGTGGAATTCTGTAACTCTCGTCCAATTGCATTAGTCAGTCATCTACAGAGCGTTCCTTCGAACTCAACCGACAATTGTCCCCCTCAATCATGCCCATCTGACTATGAATATGCTCCAGGCTCTCCTACTCGTTGCTTCTGTGCTGCACCATTGCTTATTGATTATCGATTAAAGAGTCCCGGATTCTCAGATTTTCTACCATATTTCTACTCATTTGAGGTGTATTTAACCACGGGTCTTGAAATAAACCATTTTCAACTTGACCTTACTTATGAATGGCAAAAGGGTCCTCGATTACAGATGTATTTGAAGATTTTTCCTGTGTATTCACCCACACCTAATTCCAATATCTTCAATAGGAGCGAAATCCTCAGGATCCGAAGCTTGTTCACGCAATGGAAAATTCCAGATAGCGAAATTTTTGGACCTTACGAGCTTCTCAATTTCACACTAGTTGGTCCTTACGAAGATTGTTCGTCTCCTAAACCCTAATCTTACGAATTCTTTAATCTTGATTATATTCTTGTTATTAATAGTTCAATACTCGTTTTAATCGCAGTTATTCCCCCTCCCCCCTCGTCTTCTGGTATAAGCAAGGGTGCTGTTGCGGGAATCGTGGTAGGGGCAATTGTAGGTGCGGTTTTAGCCTCTGTGTTCATAGCACTTTATATCCTAAAATTGCAACGGAGAAAGTACCACGCAGTTTCAAGAAAACGTCATGGTGAGTTAATTTCTCTAGTATGACTATTGAAGTCAAAATTCATCATCTGATTCTGATGCTCCTGGATCCAAACTCCAAATGATATTTTACGCAGTTTCAAGGGCGTCACTTAAAATTGAAGGAGTGAAAAGCTTCAGTTACAGTGAAATGAAACATGCTACAAACAATTTCGATGTTGGAAGTGAAGTTGGGCAGGGTGGGTATGGAAAGGTGTATAAAGGCGTCTTCACTGATGGGACAGTTGTCGCCATTAAACGAGCCCAGGAGGGATCACTACAAGGGGAAAAGGAGTTTCTCACAGAAATAGAGCTGTTGTCTAGGTTACATCATAGAAATCTGGTTTCTTTGCTTGGATTCTGTGATGAAGAAGGCGAGCAGGTAAATTACCTTTTTGTCCTTTAGTCGTCTTTACATTAAAGATACATATATAAGATTTGTGCATTGCAGATGTTGGTTTACGAGTTCATGCCTAATGGCACTCTCAGAGATCACTTATCAGGTATTTTTAAACACGATGAGTCTTTACTTTATATTGAATATTGAAAGAGATAAAAAGGGAACTGATGTATCTTGCATTGACTAGTTACAGGAAAGTATAAAGAATCGTTGAGTTTTGGGATGAGATTGAGAATTGCATTGGGGTCTGCAAAGGGCATTCTTTACCTACATTCTGAAGCTGATCCTCCAATATTCCATAGAGATATTAAGGCCACAAACATCTTGCTCGACTCAAAACTTGTTGCAAAAGTTGCTGATTTTGGACTTTCAAGACTAGCTCCGGTTGCTGACCTGGAAGGTGTTGTCCCTGGTCATGTATCAACAGTTGTCAAGGGAACTCCGGTAACACAGTTTGACTTTTAAGCTCAAAATTCAAATCAAGTAAAGAATGGTTTAGGGTACTGGTATTTGAAACTTAATTAAATGGTTTTATTTTTGCATGGCAGGGGTATCTTGATCCTGAATATTTCCTGACTCATAAACTAACAGATAAAAGCGACGTCTATAGTTTGGGTGTTGTTTTTCTTGAACTGTTAACGGGAATGCACCCAATCACACATGGGAAGAACATCGTCCGAGAGGTAAGTGATTAATTAATTTGATTCTTACCACACTTGATTTTTGTGATAACATTGAGATCTATTTATTAGGTTAATATTGCGTATCGATCGGGGATGATATTCTCAGTGATTGATGAAAAAATGGGATCTTATCCGTCTGAATGTGTGGAAAAATTTGTGACATTGGCCCTGAAATGCTGTAAGGAGGACACGGATGAACGACCATCGATGGCGGAAGTTGTTCGGGAACTGGAAAATATTCGACAAATGATGCCGGAATCCGACTCAAGAATCATGAATTCCATTGATATCGAAGCGGGGAAGAATGCAAATGCGCCTTCTTCTCAGTCTTCATCTTCTACCACAAAGAACCACCCTTATGTTTCTTCAGATATCTCGGGGAGTGACCTTGTTAGCGGTGTTGTCCCCACCATTGCACCTAGATGAACAAACAAAACAATGTATTATTTTATGTTGTGTCCACAATAGTGTATGTAAATTGTAGACACAGTAAATAGTGTTTTAAGGAAGATATATCTGCATATACTACATGAAGGAGATATCTCTTCTTTAGGAACTATTTATCGTGTATACTACTTGAAAATTGTAATATTGTTTTCTTTTGTCTAGTTTATATGTATATACCATGTTAGGATTTGGTTCTGTAAAGTATGGTTTTAGAGAGTTACAGGAGTGCCTTCATAAATTACTAACTTTTTGGTTTTCTTACATGATTGTTAATGTTATATATTACATTCAGTCGCTGGACAATATTTCATCGTGTTTTTATGGTCACCATACAAAAATATACATAGCAAATGTCGAGGCAAGATATCAATTTTGTCGAAACAATAAATAATATAAAATTGACCGGTTTCTCAGGGTTATGTTTTTAGTTTTATCTATGTGAAAGAAAAAAAGGTGGTGCGCAGGCTAGCCGAGTGGCATTGGCAGGAGCTAAGTCACCTTGGCAAAACCGTTCCGCCAACTCGACATGTTAGGCTCGACACCCCATCTCAACAGCTTGCAACTTCTCTCTCCTTTCTTGCCACACTCTCTCATCTCTTTCAGCTTCTCCTCCACTCCGCACCCCACTATCTATCATTGGTGGTGGAGAGGCTTTTGGCTGAGGTGGTGTTGGTGACCTCAACACCGCTCCTAACAGCCTAAAACTCGAAGGAGTGTAGCCGAGAGGGGTCAAACTCCACCTCATCCATCATCTTCTCCGAGGGTTTGTTAAATCATTGGCATGTCCTAATGATAATAAAAGGGAAAAAAAATTAAGAAAGCTTGGGAAAGAGCGATGAAGGATGTGGAAAGACCGATGTGACTACGATGAAAATGAAATCATTCTAACGACACAATCACTAGCGAAGAATACATGGCAAGAAGAGTGGCGATATATAATGTTGAAGTCCATCACAATCTTCATAGTGACTTGGTGGAACATATTTGTAATGTTGATCATATTGATACGTACGTGGAACCCTAAGATTGTTTGGACAACCAATTTTCGGACGTACGATTTCATGTAATTCTTATTAGTCACGTATTTTTCGGTTTTTAAGTTTTGAAGTTGTTAATCTATTGTCACAAAAATGATGTGGTAGAAAAAGGTGTGACAAAGTTGCTAATACTTCCTCCGGTTTGAAAGGGATGTAATTCATTTATTTTTAGTTTATAGACAACTACTAACATACATATTTATAACTATTATTATTATCTTATTTTTCATCTTTTAAAATCAAAGAAGCGTTTTATGTTATGATTGTATTTGGTTATTAAGGCAGAGGATATCGACAGCGGGATGAGGGAGAATGTAGACGATAGTGTTGGGGACGATTACAAGCAACAATGGTACTATCAGAAGAAGCTGATTGCGGGTTGTGGAAGGAACCAATACCGATCTGTACCGTTCCCGATTTTCCAAAAATCGAATTTGATCAAAAGTCAATCCCGAATACCGAACCAAATTAACATCATCACTACCAGGAATGATATTAGTTTTCGGTACTAGTACTGATACAGACGGCACCGAATCTAGAATTTTATGAATTTGAAATTCTAATACCGTTTATATTTTTAAATTTGATACCGGTTTTAGTATGGTACAAATTCGGGATCAAAATTTGATACAAAGCCTTCATCCTATGTAAAAAAGCTAAAAGGATAATTTGCTAAATTATGGGGCATTCTTGAAATCCTCGGCAAAGCATGTATGGGACACGTGTCAACGCGGTAGGCAGTAAAAGAGTCAAATATTGCGAACACCATCTTGGTTTTTGATAGGAGAAAAGAACCTTCAACCCAACATCTGATCGAAGTATTCTTGCATTTTCTTAGTTAAAAATGCACAGTAAAATCGAGAAAGAAAGGCTACAGCCGTCACCATGCTCATCTGCATCAGCTATTCAGCTTACAATCGTCACTGGTTCAAAGTTTTTCCTTCTTATCTTCTTTTCTTCCCATCATCAAACATCTACAAGGCCACAAATGGTTACTGAAGAACATTTAATGAGGCCTGCGCAATCACACAGAACCCTCAACGGCTCAACCACCCTCTTAATTGTGAATGACTAATTATACTCGTACCCATGTGAACAATGGGTAATGGAATTCTTTTTATTCGGCACAAAACCGTATGAACACAACCCATTTGATCAAATGTCTATTTGAAGCGGTAACTTTACTGGTTTTAAGATTGTTATTATCAAGTCCTTGTTTGGAATTATTGCATGTGGAAATAGTCATAATGAACTTTGGAATATAATTGTTGTCTTGTTGAACTCAGGTGGATGGTTTAGATATCTGTACAAGTAATTGGTGTCCTTTCAACACACTGGTGATATCCAAAGTATGGGTTTCATGGTTCAGATTTGTCTGGACCATGAGTTTGTTGCTTGTTTTTGCAGATAGTCAATCTACTCATCCTGATGAAGGTAAACTGCTTTGTTTTCATGTATTTGGAGGAGTTTTTGTTCATTACAAAGGCCTCTATTTTATCAAATACTTATTTTGGAAAGAAGAGGGATTGATTACTCAATACACATGATAAACTTGTGATTTTATTTGCAGTGACAACACTGAGGGCTATTAGGCAAAGCTTTATCGATCCAAACAGTAAGCTTAGGAACTGGAGGCGTGGAGATCCATGTGTATCAAATTGGACCGGAGTCTTGTGCTTCAACAAAACCCTAGACGATGGTTATCTTCATCTTCGAGAACTGTAAGATATTAATTCTCCAATTTATATGATTGTAACTAGAAGTTTTAAAGCCACAATAAGTCCTGGTATGATTTTTGTAGGCAACTACTGAATCTCAATCTTTCTGGAACTTTATCTCCAGAAATAAGGCGATTATCTTATATGCAAATATTGTGAGCCAAGTTCCAAATTTCACCATTGTTTCCTTTTTCTTGATAATATTTTTGTATGCATATAACATATTTGTTCTTGATCTTAAAGGGATGTCATGTGGAACAACATAGGTGGGAGTATACCAAAAGAGATAGGCCAACTTACATCCTTGAAATTCTTGTAACTTCATTTCTTTTTTCCTGTTTAATTAATTAATTAGATATTGAACTATTTATGGTAATTTGTAACTATGATAATGCATGCAGGCTCTTAAATGGAAACAATCTAACAGGCTCCTTGCCAGAAGAGATTGGGAATCTCACCAATTTGAACCGCATACAAATCGATCAGAACCACATATCTGGACCAATACCAGTCTCATTTTCAAAACTGAACAACACAAAGCACTTGTAATTTTATTATTATTTGTTCCTATATTTTTATTTCCTGATTTCTTTTATGATGACTATTAGTAGTATCATATGTGAGTTTGTAGTCATATGAACAATAACTCACTTAGTGGTCAAATTCCTCCTGAGCTATCTAGATTGCCAAATGTTGTTCACCTGTAAGTTTATTCTTTGAATTTACTCAAGTTTTGACTTTTGAGTGCAATGGCATTTGCTGACATGGACAAATGTTGCAGGCTTCTTGACAATAACAACTTATCAGGCTATCTTCCTCCTGAGCTCAGTAAACCACCATACCTAATTATACTGTATGCTTTAATTCTTTACTATATTGCTTTTTTTTTTTTTAAAAAAAAATTGTTTTGGTCAAATCATAAGATGAAGGAGTTCATTCTACTTTCTTTGGTAGTCAATTTGACAACAACCACTTTGAAGGAAGCATACCTTCCTCTTATGGCAACATGCTTCAACTGGCCAAGTTGTAAGTGTAGTTTAAGTTTTAATAAACTTTAATAATGATGAATTAATTCAATACATAACACTCTAATCCAAGATTACCTTTGATGTTGCAGGAGTTTTAGGAATTGCAACTTGCAAGGACCAATCCCTGATCTTAGCAGGATACCGCATCTTACTTATATGTAATTATGAAATAAATCTTGAATGTTTTGGAGTAAAGTCTTTTTTAAGCTGTTAGTTTGATGACAATTTATATATTTCAGAGACCTGAGTGATAACAATCTTAATGGATCCATACCACCCGTGAATCTTTCTCATGATATCACAACAATGTAAGTTTTATAGAGTCTATTCGTGATCTACTTTGTGTCTTTGTGTTTGGACTTTGGATTCTTATAATTTCATGTGATAAAACTGTGCAGCGATCTGTCAAGGAATCAGCTTACTGGAACAATTCCTCCCATCTTTTCAGGCCTTCCTAATCTACAAAGATTGTGAGGATTCTTTAACCTTTCTTTTAGAAAATATTATGGATTGATGTACACATTTATTTGAAACTATTTTCCTGCAGGTCTCTTTCCAACAATTCATTAAATGGCATAGTTCCATCCAATATTTGGCAAAATAAGACTTTCAATTCAACCAAAAAACTTACAGTGTAAGACCTCGAACATGAACATCCCTCTCCCTTTTTATCTGCTCTAATTCTTTCTCGGAACTCACATGTCTTCTCTGGTGGTATCTTCCAGGGATGTGAAAAATAACAGGTTTTCAGGCGTTTCAGGCAGCCTTAACCTCCCTCCAAATGTCACCCTTAGGTTCCTTAATTTCTTGCTAATTGTATGTATATTCACACAACAAGACTTTCAGGCTTTTATGTTTCTAAAATTTCTGCAGTCTTCAAGGGAATCCGGCATGCTCCAATGCCAGCTTGGCACAATTCTGTGAATCTTTAACCACATTAGTCAGTCATCTGCAGAGCATTCCATCAAACTCAACTGACAAATGTCCACCAGAATCATGCCCAAATAACTTTGAATATGCTCCAGGCTCTCCTACTCCTTGCTTCTGTGCTGCACCACTGCTTGTTGGGTTTCGGTTGAAGAGTCCTGGATTCTCCTATTTTGAGACATATTTCTATCCATTCGAGGTCTACCTAACCTCTGGTCTTGAAATCAATCATTTTCAACTTGATCTCACCTACGAATGGCAAAAAGGTCCTCGACTTGGAATGTATCTAAAGCTTTTTCCGGTGTATACAGTACCTGGTTCTAATGTCTTCAATAGGAGCGAAGTACTCCGGATTCGAAGCTTGTTCACACAATGGGAAATTCCATATAACAAATTCTATGGACCATACGAGCTTCTCAATTTCACACTATCGGATCCATATAAAAATTGTTCGTCTTCGATCTATAACCCTAACCATTAGATATCGTCAAGTTTGTTAATACTCATCTTAATTGCAGACTTTCCTACCACTTCACCCTCTTCTGGTATAAGCAAAGGTGCAGTTGCAGGCATCGTGGTAGGGGCGATTGTAGGTGCGGTTTTGGTCTCTGCGTTCGTGTCAGCTTATATCTTACGATCGCATCGGAAGAGGTACGATGCAGTGTCAGGAAGAAGCCGTGGTGAGTAAACTTGTGGATTCACTAATCATGTTTCGGTGTACATACCCGATACTCGATCTAAACATCTTTGTGCAGTTTCTAGGGCATCCATTAAAATCGAAGGAGTGAAAAGCTTCACGTTTGAAGAAATGAAACACGCTACAAACAACTTCGATGTTGGCAGCGAAGTCGGGCATGGTGGGTATGGAAAGGTGTATAAAGGCGTGCTCACTGATGGGACAGTTGTCGCCATTAAACGAGCCCAGGAGGGATCACTACAGGGTGAACATGAGTTTCTAACGGAAATAGAATTACTGTCGAGATTACATCATAGAAATCTGGTTTCTTTGCTTGGATTCTGCGATGAAGAAGGCGATCAGGTAAATTAACTTTTTGTCCTTTAATCATCATCACAAATTACATATAACTTGTGTATTGCAGATGTTGGTTTATGAGTTCATGTCTACTGGCACTCTCAGAGATCACTTATCAGGTATGCCTGTCTTAATAAACTTCCTTATCTGATAACGACAAGACTATGTGTTTTGGTTGACTAGTTACAGGAAAATATAAAGAATCATTGAGTTTTGCTATGAGATTAAGAATCGCATTGCATTCAGCAAAGGGCATTCTCTACCTTCATACCGAAGCTAACCCTCCAATATTTCATCGCGACATTAAGGCCACAAACATCTTACTCGACTCAAAACTCGTAGCAAAAGTTGCTGATTTTGGTCTTTCAAGACTCGCTCCTGTAATTGACATTTCCGGAATTGCCCCCGGTCATGTGTCGACAGTTGTTAAGGGCACTCCTGTAAGCATCAACTTATATGTTGACTTCCTCTCACGTTCATACATGATAGAGGGTTTGGTTTGACAATGGGAACCCGGTTTTCTTTTACAGGGCTACCTTGATCCCGAGTATTTCCTGACACATAACCTAACTGATAAAAGTGATGTTTATAGCCTTGGTGTTGTTTTTCTCGAACTCTTGACAGGGATGCACCCAATCACACATGGCAAGAACATTGTTCGAGAGGTAATATTTGTGTTGGAATGAGAGTTGAGACGTTGAGTAGACTAAATCAAAAATCAGAATTATCTTTGTTTTGATTTGGTTGTATATCAGGTTAATATTGCGTATCAATCTGGCAAGATATACTCGGTTGTTGATGCAAATATGGGATCTTATCCGCCTGAATGTGTTGAAAAGTTTGCAACTTTGGCCCTCAATTGTTGTTGTGAAGACACGGATGGGAGACCATCGATGGCTGAAGTTGTTAGGGAAATTGAAAACATATGGCAAATGATGTTAGATCTTGACCCCAGGACCATTGACTCCGAACCTGTGTCTTCTCAGTGTTCATCATTAACAAAGAACATGTTTCTGGTTTCCTCAGATATCTCAGGGAATGATCTTTCTAGTGGTGTTATCCCCACCATATCACCTAGATGAGAATCCCTTTTCGTCTGATTTTACTGGTGTATGTTAGTGTAGTTGAGTTTGAATTGTGGCTTTTGTTTTCGGGTAACAAGAAAAAAGGGTAAATAGTGTGTAAGGAAGATGCATAAACTAGTCTTTTCTAAGAAATGTTTATTTTGTAGAATATTTGGAATACTGTTCTGTTTTCTGCTTTCTAATCTATGTATAAAGTATACACCATGCGGTTTTGCTTGAATTTTGATATGTAAGTTAGAGTGGTTTTGCTTGGCATTCAATAGTTTTGACATGTTTTATGAAAAAAATCATTGAAACACTAATTAAACATGTACTTTTGGTGTGATTGTACATTGAAAATTCATGTCCAAAAACATCATTTAGTTGAGTCATGTCTAGTCTAATTTGTTATTGTATTATCTTCTTTACATTGGTTTTTCTTACGAGTTTAAGTTTTGAGTTAAAACAAAGCTACGCCAGGGAAATAAATCAACCTCCTTGTGAGTTCAAACATTTGCATTTACAAACCTTCATATGTCTACGTCTCTTCATAAAATGAAATCATATTGATCTAAAAACTTCATGACCATTTCTTTAAGAGAAAAATAATGTCATGACAACAATATTTATCCACTGGATTTTATGAATATTGATCTTACCAATTACACCAAGGATATGTTTCGCAGCCAGAACTTTGTTTTTTTTTTTTTTTTTCCTGAGGGTTTTAAAGTTGTCGTTCAAACCGAAAAATAGTTTAAAAAAAAAAGAAAACTATTTAGACTAGTGTTTTAACAAACTTATCAAATTTTTAAAAAAATTCTTTCAAATATACCATTTACTAATTATAAAAAACTTCAATCTTCTACATGTTTTTATGTTATTTTACTTATTCTATGCTAGTTTATCAACTATTTTGCCAAACATTTTTTATAACTATTTTGCCAAACATATCGTAAGAATAAACCACAAGCCCCTCCACGTCGTTTTTGATCCCATACCAACAAGTTTTAAAAAAAACTCAAGAACGACTTACCCTAAAAACTCAAGAACATGGTGTTAGGCATTTAATGGTTAAATTCAACAAAGAAAATTCTTTCAAATGATAGTATTTTCTTTTCAACGCCTAACACACATCCACTAAATCATACTCATGACTAGTCGATTGTCCACGACATGACTTGAACCCTCAGCCCCTTAAAGGAGGAATACATTTTTAAACACTTTGATACCGATAAGTCAAAAACCATTTGGTTCAAATATCACTATTTATTAACAAGTATGTCTATGTTTGTAGCAAACTCTTTTACGTACTTAGGTCTTCCAGTTGGTGCTTCTATGGCTTGAGTAACCCACGGAAACCTATCATTGAAAAATTTCAGGCGAAACTATCTAGATGGAAAGCTTCCACCTTGTCGTTTGGGGGTAGATTGACCCTATGCAAAGTTGTTCTAAGTAGTCTTGGCTCATTTTACTTTTCTATATACAAGGCACCTGCAAAGGTGATTAAAAGTCTTGAAAGAATTCGGATGAAGTTTTTTTGGGTAGGCTGCGTGGAATCAAGGAAAATGGCCTGGGTAGCTTGGGACAAGATTCTCGCAGCTAAAGAAAGAGGTGGGCTCGGTGTTGGCAGCTTAAAGGCACAAAATCTTGCTCTTTTGGGAAAATGGTGGTGGTGTTTCAGAAAACAGCCTGAAAGCATATGGGCTTTGGTGATTAAAGTCATTCATGGACCCGATGGAGGAGTGTCTCGTCCTATGGCCACAAAAAGAAGAAACAGTTGTTGGGGTTCAATTGCAAGCCTGCCAACATCGTTAGAAAAGGAACAGGTGCCATTCTTAAATTACTTCCAGAATATATTAAATGTAGATGGCTCATCTAAATGGTCATGGTCACTTGATCCTTCGGGGGGGGGGGGGGGGGGATATTCTGTTTCTTCACTGCGAAATCATATTGATAACATGGTCTTGCCTCATAGTAATGACAGATGGATATGGAACCTACTGGTGCCGGGTAAGATAAACATTCTAGCTTGGCGAGTCTGCCAGGGTAGACTTCCATGCATGGAGAACCTTTTCAAGCTTGGCATCAGCTCTTCAGATTTGTGTCCGATGTGCCATGAAGCCCCAGAAACGGTAGATCGCATCTTTGTGGGATGCCCGATCTCAAAGGAAGTTTGGTTGCAGGCATGCAGTTGGTGGCGGTTATTGGAACTCTCTCCTAACTCTTGTAGAGAGTTGTTAGATTGTAAAGACTTGCTAGGAGTAGAGGTGGCAAATATTGACACGACACGAAACCCGACACGAAAAAACGGGTTTGGGTAAGATATTTCAACACGTTTAAATAAACGGGTTGACACGGCACGACACGAAAATTAAACGGGTAAGGTTAGGGTTGAGAATTTCAACTCGAATATGACTCGAAAATGACCTGTTTATTTATTTGCAAATTTTTTGAATTATTTAAATAAACTAGAAAGATACAAAACCATAACCATAAGTAAAAGAAAACCTTCGAATTGAGTCGTTTTGTAATGTTGAAATGACGTAGCCAATTAGATCAAGACTTAATTTCATTTTTTTCATTCTCTCCCAAACTACTCGGTCTCTTTCACCACTCTCACATCCTCGCGACCTTTTCATCCGCCTCTCCAACTCCCATTCGTTTGATTTTGTCATCTGAACTTGCTATGACTTCATCTATTATGCCTCCAAACTATTAGTTTTTCCTCTCCGCCTACATAACTCCTACTCTTTCAACATGCTCAATCTTTTAACCTCAAATGACACGACATATTTCAAGGTATAGCCCTAACCCGAAAACTGACACAAACTCGACACGAAAATAAACGGGTTGACACGACACGACACGTTAATTAAATGGGTTGGGTTAGGATCAAGCACTTTCAACCCGTTTAGTGTTTCGACACAACACGTCACGATTGCCACCTCTAGCTAGGAGGACATCAAAGGCTGAAGGTGGTTAAAGAGGCTATAATGTTGGTTTTCTTATGGGTAATTTGGAGATTTAGAAATAGCAAGACTCATGCCCTGAACTCAAACTCCTTATCAAAATCGGCACTGACATATGAGGTACAAGCACATTCGTACCTTTGGATCAATGTGTGGAATCGAAAAGGACAAAATCTACGATGGATCGAGTGGTGTTGCGACCCAACTTGGAGTGCTATTGCAGGATGTAGTTAATTTTTCTTTTTCGTTTCCTTGTTGTTTTATGTTGCTTTGTTTGTTTTGTTCTTGGAACATTTTGTACCTCTTAGCCCTTGGCTAGCTTTTCTTAATATATGCTTGTCGTTAAAAAAAATCATACATTCTTTAGGTTTGTTATTATAACATAAATAAAAATTCTTTTAAGTTTGTAATTATAACATTTTTTATAACATGAACATTAATTAATAAATTTAAACAGGAATGCAACAAAATATTCATTAGGTTTCATTAAAAGATTAAAGAATAACACAATGCTTTCAATACTTTTCATAAACACAAAGATAAAACAATTGTTTCAAACTTGATACATAAAAAAGTTTTTTTTTCTACAGCCAAATATGCATATTTAAAAATCATAATTATTAGCTAATCATTCTCATTGAATTTAGTTACATTGTTTTCCAAAAAAATAATTTTCATTATCTTTTCTTTTTCTTCTTCTTCTTATTCTCTCTCTCTTAAGTATTTTATTTTATTTTTATTATAATAAATATAATAATTACATTTATATTATTAATTGAGTTAATGTAAATGATCCAACTTTTATATATTTCCCAAAGTGAGGCCATTTCAAATTTGAGATATATAATTTGCAGTTTGTTCTAATTTGAACCAATTGTTTGCTAAAATTATTTTTCTTCGCATAAATTATAGGAATAATGATTTAAAATGACAATATATTTTTTGATTTTTATACATTTAGTTATTGAGTTTTTTTTTCGTCCACATTTACCCCTTTAACTTGATAAATTGTACAAATTCAGTCCTTATGACCGGTTACACCAAGTTAGCTGGTGAAAATAACTTAATAGAGCAATATATCTCTCACTCTGTACACATTTAGTTTTTAATATTTTTTACACATTTAATCCTTAATATTTTTTTTGTTGCAAAATAAGTCATTTTTTTGTACTCATTAAATATTTATGAATAATTTCTTTAAGTTCTTCTCATGACATATTACGTGAGACAATCATTAATCATGTGTTTGGAGCTTTTGATGCTTATATTCATCACGATCTCAACTACTTGGTTGCTTAGGTCATGTGTGAACATCATAAATTCTTCATACGATCTCAAATTTTAACGATATTTGCAATAATGCGTTCGTATTTTAGTCTAATACAACTTTTATTTGGACTACTCCTGTTAAAAAGTAATATATATTTACTTACGATCTTTATATCCATACGGTTTTTATGGATGAATGTATGAATGTTTTTTTTTTTTTATGAAATCATAAGTAAAAATATATTACATTTTAATGGGAGTGATCTTAACGAAAGTTGTAGTATACTAAAAAGCCGAACACGTGGATATAAAGATTATTAAAATTTAATATTGTATGAAGAAGTTACGACGTTCAGAAAACAAAACCTAATCCAAACTACAAGACCTATGCAACCAAGCAATCGAGATCACGATGGACATAATCATCAACAAACCTAAACACCCCATCAAGTTTGACCCACGTAAGATGTTGTTAGAAAAACCTAAATAAAGCATTCATAAGTACTGAATGAGTATTAAAACAAAAATGACTTATTTTGAAACAAAAAAATATTAATTACTAAATGCGTACAAAATGAGCAATATATTATCATATTATGTCATTTTTTCCGGCTAACTTGGAGCGGTCATAAGAACTTTATATGTGCAGTTTAATAAATTAAAAGGTTAAATTTGGACAAAAAAAATCAGTGACCAAATATGTACAAATCAAAAAATAAATTACTATTTTAAGTCAGTGTCCCTAAATTATAAATGTGTAGTGTTATAGGTTTTGTATGATTATCATTATCTACTTTATTATTGATAAGTTTTATATTTTTTTTGTCAAAATTTCAGCAAAATACTATAAATATTATATTATTTTCTATATATTACATTTTGTTGATTTTGAACATGTTTTCGAGATTTTGGATTTCTTTTTCAACGATATATTGTCTAAATTGGAATATGAAAATACAGTTTTTTTTACAAAACTAATCCAAAACAAATAAATGACATTGAAATGTGGTAATAATTATTTATTTATATTATAATTATTAATTAAAATTAAACTAATAATCATTACTTAATTATTATTATTATAATAATGATATTTGATTAAAAAGTATTTTTTTAATCATTATTGGGAAGAGTGATGAAAAAGTAGACCTAAAATAGGGATAGTAAACTCTAAAATATAGATAGACCAATGTGTATATAATAGGATCCAAAGTTATGTGATTAAACATATTGATTAAGTATATCTATGAAGACATCTATGCTACCTTTCTAAACTTAAACCCACCCCAATATACCTTAAACCCCACCCTACCATACCCCAATTCTTATTCCCCTACTCTTCATCCTATTTTGCATCAATTAAAGATTACTCTTTATCCCCCCTTCCATCATCTCCAACAGTGAAGACAAACACCGCTCACCTTCGTCTTCCTCACCAACAACCACCGCCACCACCAGATGACCATCTAAAAAAACATCACAAATGGAATTTGGAAAAAGACCTTCGGAAAAACGTTTGGTCCACCACCATCACACCCTACTACAAATATGGTCTGCCAACGCCATAACCTAACATATTTGGTCTGCCACCTAAAACTCAACATATTTCTCTCTATTCCTATTCTCTAACCTATCCATCAACCATCTTTCATGAAAATCGTGTTGTTTGTGGGTGTTCATACCCAAAAATCGAGCCCTGAAACCTTTCTCATTTATTAGGATTGGTTCATCGAAATCTAAAACCCTTCATCGAGGGTGGTAGTTGTTGGTTCTTTGAGAAACGACTAAAGGTGGTGATGATGGTAGAGTGGAGATAGTGGTAATAGGGTGGTTGAAGAGATGAATGGGTTTTAGAATTAGGTGGTTGAGGTTAAGCTTTATTATTATTATTATTATTATTATCATTATTATTATTATTATTATTATTATTTAACTAAAAATAGTTTTCAAATGTATAAGACTAGAGAGAATAGTGTCACAGAAATCACACTTCTTTCTCTGTCACGTAAGCGTCACACCTACTTTTACCACAAAAGTGTGGCTCATTGCCACACCCAAGGAATGATGTCGCATTTTTGTTAACAATTTAATTTAAATAAAAACTTTAATTTTCATTAAAAACATAACATTTCATCACTTAAAAATTAAAATACATTACATTACATTATTTAAAGAAAACATAACATAACATTAAAAAAAATCTAAAAACTTAGAAAAAAAACTAAAAAACTTAAACTTACAAAGTGGTTGATCATACAAAAGTTTTGGGGCATGAGTGTTTCTATTGGGTGTTTTTGGTTGTTTGGATTATTGAAAGTATATTGAAAGTTTTTGAAAAAAATATGATGAAAGATAAAGAAATTCGAGTGATGTTTGGTAAAAAAAAAAAGATAGGTTATATATAGGAAAAGTTATAAAAAAAAAATTGAATTTTTTAATTGTTTCAAACCATCAAATCTACTGACCACCAATCAGAAGACGCGGCTAAAAGGAGAAGAAGACACCAAAGGCCGCATAAGGGAGGTGGTGTTCCCCTTCCTATATGGCAAAGAGTGCAGTCAAACTACGATCCGCTCCCAAAGACTAATAAATCTGAAAATGATAAAATAGTAACATCAAACGATTATACAATAAAATAAAACCAAATAATCCACCACATAAAACATAAAATAATAAGGACTAAACGCATAAATACTTTATACGGGATTAACGTATTTTGACGAACTCATCCAAATTATGTAATTTTGACTTGAATAATAAAGGCATAACCTAAATTTGTATACTTCTTTTTTGATCGATAAATAATATTAAAGAAGAAAAATGCTTTTTACAAAAATGCCCTCAGATAAATCTTGAAAATAACAAGGTCACAGATAACGGAACTACGCGCTTCTATTTTGAGTTGCCAAATTCAACCTGTCAATACATATTTTACAATAGTCGGTGTCGAAGAACGTGTCTTGGATTGGGTTACACTTCTAGAAGCCCATAATCACCACCAACCCAATTCAGCACGCCAACGACGAATCAGCATACGTAAGCCCATCAGGCCCATAAAACAACTATATAAACGCTATTTCATCGTAACCTAATTAGGGTTTTGTGTCCGATATTGCGCAGCATATCTCTTGAAGAAAAATCAGCAATGGGAAGAAGTACGTTTTCTCCTCAATTGATTCATTCCTTTTTGCTAATCGTTGCAGTTTGAGCTATCTAAAATTAATTTCCTGTCGTTGATTTCATCTATTATGTTTTTATATTATTATTTCGATCTGGACAAACCACGAGTCCGAGTACGTTTGATCGATTCCATAAATTTGAACTTTGTTAGGACAGTTAATCATCTTTTGTAACATACGATATATGCCTCGGAAATGGATTGTTTCAAGGTTGTTTGTTGAGCTGCTTTGTTGATAGCGAATTAGTGTTGATGATCTTCATTGTTTGAGAAATTAAATAATCTGATATGTCTATTGTGTAAGATTTCATCCTGACAGATAATAATTGTATCACTCAGGACCCGCTAGGTGTTACAGGCAGATCAAGAACAAGCCCTATCCCAAATCCCGATACTGCCGTGGTGTTCCTGATCCAAAAATCAGGATCTATGATGTTGGCATGAAGAAGAAGGGAGTCGATGAATTCCCTTTCTGTGTTCATTTGGTCAGTTGGGAGAAGGAAAACGTCTCCAGTGAGGCACTTGAAGCTGCACGTATTGCCTGCAATAAGTATATGACCAAGTTTGCAGGAAAGGATGCTTTCCATTTGAGGGTTAGGGTTCATCCTTTCCATGTGTTGCGTATCAACAAGATGCTTTCGTGTGCTGGAGCTGATAGACTCCAAACTGGTATGAGAGGTGCTTTTGGGAAACCACAGGGTGTATGTGCCCGTGTTAGCATCGGTCAAGTTCTTCTTTCTGTTCGATGCAAGGATGGTAACAGTCAGCATGCCCAGGAGGCACTTCGTCGTGCTAAGTTCAAGTTCCCTGGTCGTCAAAAGATCATTGTCAGCAGGAAATGGTATAAATTTAAAATTATTTTTCCAAATCCCATTTTTCACATTTTACTCTTTGTTGAATGAATAATTCTTTACTATTAAATGTTTTTCTAATCTTTTTTTGTGTTGATTTCAGGGGATTCACCAAGTTTAGCCGAACTGATTATGTGCAATGGAAATCTGAGAACAGAATCATGTCTGATGGTGTTAACGCTAAGGTATGTATTTCTCATTTCTCCGATGTCTTTAATGGCTTAATCATATCAGACCTTTTTAATTGTAGTTGAGTTTTGTTATAACAGTTACTGATGGGTAATCTTGTAATTTACATTGCAGCTTCTTGGATGTCATGGACCCCTTGCAAATCGCCAGCCTGGGAGAGCTTTTCTAGATGCTGTTGCTTAAGTTGGATTATTTATTTGGTATCAGATTTTTTAGTGAATCTAAACTCAGTTTTGTATGTTCGCTTGAACAAGGTTTATTTCATCTTTTTCTGTGTTTTGGATATTGCAATATAAGACCAATTCGCTATTTGAGTTTTAATGTTTGTCTGTGGTTCCTTTGACTTTCCTTAAGTTAGCATTTATGTTTTAACATCATCATCTACACTTCCACCATCCGATGCTTTTAACTACATGAAATTGCAGTAGCAGCTGTAGCATCAAAATATGGAACCTCTTAACATTTTGCTTATAATAGCAACACGACTTTACCCTTCTACTTTTTTGGTAAATTGTAGCCATTGCAGTTTATCAATATTCAAAAAATTGGTAGTTTTGAAAAAATGATAAGAGTACATTGCCAATATTGGATGATAAATAAAGTATTTCGGTTTATGTAACATACTATGAATCTTTTTGGATCTACCAGTTCGATTACCAAAGCATCATTATCATCCAGTCTATGTTCTAATGCAAATGCCTTGTTATCAACCACTGATTCCAGTTCTCTGACTTATAAATACACTACTGCATTCATTCCATTTGCATGTGTGCTTGTGTATGCCAAACAGAGAGAAACATATCGATGTCATCTGCCCTTGGCTCCTCTGCTAATGGTTGTTTTAGGTGGCTTCATCACTCCTTGTCTCCTTTTTCACTCTCTCTACCTGGCAGTCCTCTCATCATATTCTTTTTCTATTCATGTTCACCGATTTATGCTCATTAAAAATTGATTTTTGTTTTTGTAACATTTCCAAAATCAATGAAGCCAAAGTTTTTGACTGAAGTTTATAGCGCTAAAGGTAGAAGTGCATGATGAGTTAGACCCCTGTATGAGTGAAGTGGCATGAGTAGAGAATAATTGATGAATGACCTCAATGAACAAGGATAGGTTAAGTTCTATTTACTTAGGAATCCGGAGCAGCACCCCTAGGTATGAGATTCCAAGGGACAGCGCCCCTAGTGGGGTGCAAAGGGCAGAGCTTTTAACAAAGTATTATGATCTTGGTTATTTCCATTATGTTAAATAACAATTCTATATACTCTTCAACAAAATGAGATTTCTTAAAGGAAATGATGACCTCTAGGTTGTCATATTCAGGTTTAAGTGATGGATTTTAGGGAGAAGTTATGCTAACAACTTGTTATCTTCTAAATAGAGTTCCAAACAACAAGAGCAAGATAACTTCATATGAACTTTAGTACAAAAGGAAACCAAACTTGGGAATCTTAAAGTTTGGGGGTTGTCGGGCAGTTGTAAGACTGACTGAACCAAAGATGAAAACTTTGGATGAAAGAAACTTGATTGTATCTTCATTGAATATGATGAGAATTATTTTTTATCCATACCTAAACCCAGGGATGAGCAAGGAACCGATCCGGCTGAAACCGGCCCAAACCGAACCCGTTCCGGGAACCGAAGTCGGCCGAAATTAAGAACCGAACCGAACCGGACCGTCGGTTCTACCGGTTCTTGCCATGTCTTCAATGTTGGAACCAGTCATCAAGAAATAACAACATACGGTTTCGGTTTTTGTCGGTTGGACCGCGTCCGGTTCTACTGGTTTCGATTCCTACCGATCCTCGGTTCAAAAAACCCATAAGAATATCATCTCGGTCTTGACCCGACTGGTTCCATCGGGTTCCGGTTCTGATACCGATTCCAATCGGTTCCCTGGTCCAAATGCTCATCCTTACCTAAACCAAAGGGTATGACTACTAATCCAATGGAATTGCAAAGGAAATTGTACCTGATTCAAATGAATCACATGCTAAGTCATTTAGTAATGCTTTTTAGCTTTACCTAGTTGAGGGTTCTAAATGAGATTACATGTCACTGTTTTAGCATTGAAGAAGATCTAAAACATATGATGATGCAATGAAATCTCAAGATGTTGCATTTTGGAAAGAAGCAATAGATGATGAGATGGATTCTATTATGGGATATAATACTTAGGTTTTGTCTGATCTTCCCCATGGATGCAAACCTTTGGGTTGCAAGTAGTTATTCAAAAGGAATATGAAAGTTGATGGATCAATCAACAAGTTTAAAGCTCGATTTGTTATTCAAGGTTTTAGATAAAGGCCTGACATTGACTACTTTGATACGTACGCTCTTGATGCTCGCATATCTACCATTAGATTGTTGATTGCCTTAACAACATTTCATAATCCGATCATTCATCAAATGGATGTTAAAAAGCATTCTTGAATTGTGATCTAGAGGAAGAGGTATATATGAAACAACCTGAGGATTTTATTATGCTTGACAATGAGCATAAAGTGTGTAAGTTGGTGAAATCGTAGTATGGGCTGAAACAAGCACCTAAACAGTGGCATCAGAAGTTTGATGATGTTGTCTTGTCACATGGTTTCAAGTTGAATCAATCAAACAAATGTGTATGTGTGTGTGTGTATAGTAAGTTTTATGAGTCTGGTAAAGGAGTGATCATATGCTTATATGTAGATGATATCTTGATCTTTGGTACCGATTAAAGGCAAATTGACATTACTAAAGAGTTTTTATCATCTCAGTTCTCCATGAAGGATATGGGGGGTGTGGAAGTGATTCTTGGAATAAGAATCAAACGTGATGAGACTGTGAAACTTATGCCAAATACTAGTGAAGCGGTTCACACCTTGAGTATTTAACGGTCATTAGATGTTTGATGTATGTTATGACCAACACAAGGCTTGATATTGCATTTGTCGTAGGAAAACTAAGTAAGTTTACTAGCAATCCTAATACTCATCACAAGAAAGCAACAATGTTGATGTTCTAGTATCTTAAGAAAATCATGGATTATGATTTGACTTATGTAGGGTTTCCTTTTGTCATAGAAGGATATTCAGATGCTAGTTGGACTACAAATATAAAAGACCACTCTTCTACAAGTGGTTGGGTGTTTCTTCTTGGTAAATGTGTCATTTCATGAACTTCTAAGGAACAAATATACATTAAAAGTTCAACTATGGAATCTGAATTTGTAGCCCTTGCAGCTAGCTACTGGAAAAAAGCATAATGGTTAAGGAATTTGATATATGAAATTTCTTTGTGGCCAAAGCCTATATCACTTATTTCTATACATTGTGTTAGTGTTGGCACCTTGGCAAAAACATACAGTCAAGTGTATAATTGAAAGTTGCGACATTTAGGTGCTAGACACAATATGACATGTGAGCTTATTACTCATGGTATTATTTCTGTAGAGTTTGTTTGATATCAACAAAATTTAAATGGCCACTTAACGAAAGAGTTAGCTAGAGACTTGGTAAGAAAGTGTGTTATAGGGATGGTTTTAAGGCCCACTTAATATCTTTATGGGTGAGATGCCCAATTCCATTCTAATACAATGTTAGAAGTTGAATTCAATGTGGAAAGCTTGTTTATAAAGATTGGAGCACATTTATGTTATTACATTCCAATGTATGTGCTTATAACCTGTAAATTAAAGTAGGTTGATAAAGTTCTTAATAATTATTTTGGGAAAATGTATTAACATATACATGATATTGAAGGACCACCTATGTGAATGTGAAGTGTTGCTGCTTCAAAAAGCTTAGAGTAGGTTTTTATACACTTAAGGACATAAAAGGTTGTGACTTACCAAAGGGGCGGTGTTCGCAGCCCTTGCGGTGGTGAAGAGGTGTCAAACAAGAGAAGGATTGTGCGTAATGAAGGGTAACCATAGTCATGGGGAGCCACTCCACATCAGCAACACCTAGCAAACGGGTGGTGTGCACGTCGGGGGCAAGTAGTCACCTTAGCACCACACCCATGGCATAGTGAGTATACTACAATGCGTAGGAACAATGAATAAACACAACTCAATATGACATACATGATTACTAATTATCACGACCTTCACTTTTCCTCTCCAATATCTAATAAAATTTGTAATTTCAACGATTATAATTATCATATGTTTTCTCAGGGTTATATATTTAATTTTTTATTTTGTTGAACGAGATGAAGCACCGATGGTAATATGCGTGATTCGAATTTAAATTTAAGTAGTCTCAAGTTCTCATGTAATTATTCTTGTATTTGTTCTATTGTTTGTTGTTTAAAAGATTTTTTTTTTAAATCTACTATAAATATATAATGCTAATTTAAACTTTAAATGTCAAACTTGCATACTAAGGTTATCATCATATATTTTTCTTTGAATACATATATTGGTCTATTGTTGAATAAACATGATGCTAATGCTTTTGATTAACAATCTTGTAGCCTCTTTTCAAAATTTATACGTTTTATAGTAATTGTTTTACTTGAACTTCGCATGTTGACCCTCTGTTTACAACGATTATGATCACCATATATTTTTATATGATTATATATTTTATTTATATTTAATTGAACAAATTAATGCTAACGTAATAGCTAACACGATTGGTTAGAATTCAAATAATATCATGTTTTTATATTTATATTTATTTTTTAAAAAATTTCTTACTTTGACTTCAACTCTCAAATTAAGTAGCCTCATTTTTTTGTATTCACACGGTCTTAATTTTTAATCTAAATCTATCGAACTTGCAATTACGGAGATGAGAATCACCAAATACTAACTTTCTACAACTTTAACACCAATTCTTTTTTGTATTATGAGTTATACCCTCATATAGTTATCATTTTTTTTTTCTCAAGAACTAAATAATATACATCGCACTTCAAAATATAAAGTTGTTTATTTAACATTCAAAGTCAATATAAACCAGCACAAGAGAACACAAGTAATGTCTAATCTCCAATTTTTAATGGTTGCTTTTTCATTAGAACCACAATTCAAATATGATATATTATCTCATTAATTCACTTTTAAAAGTTATTTGAGAGAAGACGACTCAACTTGTACAAATTTGTAAAAAGTTAAACTTAAAAGGAAAAGATTTTTTTTATTAAGTCATTCTTTTTGGGGAAAAAAAACGCTTACCGGATTAAATTTTGTTTTCATTGAACCCTTTAAGACTAAAAAATCACCGCCAAGTCTAGTCTTTGTTGACCCTTTAAGAGGGACGGGTGTGGGCAATACCATAAGGGCGTTATCTGATGTGATAGCCTAATAACGACGTCATAACGGGTGGAACACCGTCCCGGCTAGCCGTTATTAAGTGTTATGTTATCACTCGCTATTGTGGTAACGTATCTCAACACGTAACGTTGCAAAATTAATCCGTTTAAAAATAGTACAATTTCAAAATTCAAGCGTTTAAAAACTGTAACTTTAATAAAAAAAATTTACTAATTACATTTTCATTACATAATATATACGTCATTCTTTTTACTACACATATTTCTCTATATCTATTTATTAAATCACTCAAAACACAAACACAAAAATCAACCAACTATGGATCAAAACCCGGATACTCCTCCAAACACAAACACATCCACTCTAATAGGTTTTGCCACATACAAGGGCTACATAAACCTCCTCTACTTGCAAAACTCACCACAAATTCCATATACGGCCAATTTTTTCAATCTCGCCTCATCCCCACTACAATTCTTTACCGCGCCTTTTATACGACAAACAACCACATAACCCCCACCCAAGCAAGAAACGATTATTGAGACGCAAGCTGGGGGTAGTCGGAAAGTATCAGGAAAAAAGGGAGATCAAAAAAGAAAGGGAAAGAGGCCGTGGTCGGGGCGGAAGAAACGGAAGCACCTCCAACATGGACACCGGAGGAAGAGCATGCGTTGGCGGTGGCTTGGTGCGGTACTTCAAAACAACCAACTTTGGGGAACGATATGAAGACAGTTGTTTTTTGGGATGCGTAATTGTCAAATTCCGCATAACTTTTGAATAAGGGTGACACATAACGCAATAATGATATGCTTAGTGGCAAATGGACTCAAATTAGCCGGAAGTGCACCAAATTCAATTCCATATACAACAAACTTTCTTCACAACGTCAAAGTGGTGCCAATGATTTTGATGTGTTTAGAGCCGCGATGGAGGAATATCACGTGCAAATGGATCACGTATTTAAGTACGAAAAGTATGGGAGATAGTGAGGAAAAATCCAAAATGGATAAAAACGCCAACATCATCGGAACAACAATCAAAGAGGGCTTGTGGTTCGGGTTCGGTTGACGTTTCCGATGGACACACGAACATCAACCTCAACGCGGACACCGATGAGATCCCGAACGAGTTTGACGACATCGAGGAAATCTCTCCACCACAACGATCGATGAGGCACGACAAAGCGAAGCGCACGCAACGACATGCACAGGAGAATGAAAGTCGACTTCAAGAGCACAAGAAAATTAAAAAAAAAAATCAACGCTCACACGAAAATCACAAATAAAAGATATGAATTGCAACGTGATCATTTGGATTTTCTTCATCAAGAAACCCGAGAAAATCGCATATCGAAGGATTTGGCAATTCTTACAACAAAAGAAAATTTTTTGCCATCGAGACAAGCTAAAGTGATACGAAGGATAAAGGTAAAGATTGAGAGCAAATACTTGGACGAAGAATAGTTTGTCGGAGTTTTTTTTAATTATTAGGACTATCATGTTTTTTTTGGTAATGTTTTTTTTATGTTTGTATGGTATTTTTAATTTACTATTTAATGAAATTATGTTTTATTAATTTATATGTTTTTCTATAGATATATGACATAAATAAAAAATAAAACAAATTAAAAATATATGAAGTAAATAAAAAAAAAAAAAAACAAATTAGAATAATATAAATTAAAAACATCCAAATAAAAAATAAAAAAAGAAATAGAAAATAATATGTGTTATCCCATCTTATTTGGTGTTGGCTATTTCCACCTTTGGTGTTATAACACCAAATTATCAGTAGGATGATGAAGTGGACAATTTGGATATGACAACATGTTGCCCACACTTAGTAGTCTACACGAAATCACAACTTTGCCTCTAAGCAAAACCATAAAGAAACAAGAACATAAAGAATAATTAAAATCACAATGCGATTAACATCTTCAAACCATTTCCATAATAATTTTAGGAAGAATTAGTGTCATATTGAAACTAATACTAATTGAAGCCATGAGCTTCTGTCACAACATTCATGCCTACATCTATGAGATCATAGAAGAAGATGATCAAAATCTTTTACTAAAATCACTTACTTGGATCAGTTTTTCACCCCTCTAGTAGAACGCCGAGTACCGATCACACTTTCATTTGACTTCTTTGACTTTTTGGGTTGACCTCCTTTTTTTGCAGTTGACTTTTTCCCGTTTTCTTTCTGACTCTCATCTGTTGTTTTGCGCTTCTTAGGTCTTCCCCTTGAAGGCTTTTTTGTTTCAACATCTTCTTCTTCCTCTACACCACCACCATCATCATCATCATCATCATCACCATCATCATCTACACTTCCACCATGTGATGCTTTAACTACATGAATCTGCAGTAGCGTCAAACATGAAACCTCTAGTTTATGTTCCAATGCAAAATAAAGTATTTCCCATTATTTAACATACCTTGAATCTTTTTGGCTCAACCAATTCAAACACCAAAGCATCACCATCATCCAGTTTATGTTCTAAAGCAAATGCTCTCCATCCACCACTGATTCCAGTTCTCTCACTAATAAATACACAATCGTATTCATTCCCATCTTCATCTTCTAGTATCATATTCACTGTAGACTTTGGAAGATGTTTCTTGCAGAATGACATCGGTAGCCCCTAGAGAAATATAAAATCAACCAAAAAGGCACAAAACATAGTTTGATTACCTTTTATATGTAGTATTATACTTGAAATATTATGTGAAAAAGTTGCACATTTTTGTTACTCACCAACCAAAAGCAACTGTAAACATGAGAACGGACCATTGACTTTACAAAAGATGGAAATTCAGACTGCAAATTGCTTTGGAGTTTCTCTGCAGACTTCATTGCTTTAACCCTTTCTTCATATCTTGCCATTTTGACTTCTTCCAATGGTCTTGCAAGATAACTGAAAAACAATATCATCATTATGAGTTTTATGTGACATTAGTTAACAACAAATTTGCTACCAATATGCTGTTTGAACCTTGCCCATGAAGAATTGGATTTTGATCTCCTCACAGATGGGAGACCTATATCAACCTGTATAAACAAGAAGATTTAGAAATTACTCATTCTTGTTATTTATTTATTAAGGAATTTCATTAAACAATATTGATGATGGAGATGGACTTACATCATCATGATATGAAACAATGGGATTGCGTTCACGCGTTGAACGCCTTGGTTCTGTTATTGGGGAATTTCTTATTTTTAGTTTTACTTCACGTTGCTGCTTCAAACAAATGAAAATTATGTCATGTATGTGATCAATTTTATCATGAAGGTTAATGAATAAGTGTAGGAAATTCATACCTTGGACTTCTTCTCAGATCTTGAAATATCGGATAGGCTTTTAGTAATCTTCAAGATTCCCAGTTCCTTCAAAAACAATAAGCATAAGAAGCATATACTCAACTTAACATTTGGAAACATGATTTTAACTGTTTTGCTAGTAAATATGGCATCATGTTGAAGATTAAGTGATGAGAAAATGTATTTAGTAGAGATACATTTAAAAATTCATATGTGTTTGAAAGGAAGCATTTTTAGCACATTTACCATGAAGTCAAATTACATAAAAATGAAGGTTAAATACCTCGAATCTCTTTTGGTTCTCAAGAAGTTGTTGCTTGCGAGACTCTTCATAACTGTTGGAGGTAATCACCTCAGCCATCAAATCACCTGTTGCTATGCTGGAAGACTAGAAAATCTATAAATTTTGAGTTTAAGAAAGTATCATACTCATTTAAACGCAGTCCATGAGAACTGCAATGTTTAGCACTACATTTATTCTGGGAATATTGCGTAGAACAAGGTGATTAGCATAAAAAATGTCACAGTCTAATGAGAACAACTAAGCATAAAAATGAATAAATAGATCTCAAAACTGAGAATAGAAAGGAACCGATAGTATTTAGATCAATTACTCTCCTTGGAATCAACTTCCAGATGTTACGCAGGGTTTTCCCAAATTAATTTAGCAAGAATGGAGCTATAATAACACAATACAAACTCTTGAAAACTAAATGTAGCGCCAAGTTTCTAGAATGAGAACTCTAAAACAAACAAATGAGTAATCTTAGGGTCACATTTTTAGCTGTCTCAGGATATGAAATTAGGGTTTTTGCAACAGCGCCCAAAAATCAGAAAGAAATAATAAAAACAATATATCGTGCAGATGGAGATTCCTAATCAAATACTGATGAGAATAAGATAATCCGAGCACCATAAATGTTTAAAATTTTGAAAACCCTCTCTGGTATCTGCTAGTTCTTAGTAATGTTTGCATTAACGCGCCCATCAGATTTTTAAAGAATAAAACCATTAAAAAAACGAACATAAGCAACAGAATGGAAGTTTTTTTCACAAAAAATGTTCTAAGAGATTCATGAACAGAGCTCGAACTTACCAGAAAACGACTCAATGGTGTAAGGGAATTCGTGTAAGGAAGAGACTAGGTGGAAGTTTGAAATTTCGAATGGCGGTCAAATAAATTGATAAGAAAGTTTGAGTTTTAGTCCCTAAACTGTATTGGTAGTGACACTATTGATCCCTATACAAAAGGGAAAATGACTATCACATAAGATATTTTTTGAAATCTACACATTTAGTCCTTTTTTTTTTTTGTAAAATAAACCCTTGTACTTTATTTTTTATAACAATGCAATCCTTGTGACCGGCTATACCCGGTATATCGGTCATATACGAATTTTCTTTTAGGGAAAATGATTTGATATGGTAAGATACTTTTTAAATTGTACACATTTAGTCCTTTTTTGTTTGTAAAATAAACCCTTATACTTTATTAATATGTACACATTAGGTCATTTTCACCGGATTTTACAGGTTTTGCTGCTGTGAAAGCACAAGTGGCACTAAATAGCAATTAATTAGCTTAGTCACCGGAGGTGGGTGATCCTCCAACAACAAGAAAAGGGCGGCGACCCTTCTCTTTCTCGTCTCTCTTCCTTCCGGTCTAACAGCAACAGCCAAACACCCTTTACCTGTTGTGTTTCTCCGATCTGTCTCTCTTTGTCTCCATCTTTGAGATATGTTGCCAGAAAAAGAAGAAAGAATCGACGAGGGGGCTACCAGAGCAGCTCCTCGTCGCCAACTATCGTCTCTACTTCCTCCTGCCTCCCCCTTCGACCTTGTTGTTTTTGCCATCATTCATACTTGCTACCAGTGATGTGTAGGAACACACAAAGGAGTCGCCGGAGATCAGGGTTCTCCCTCTTTTTCATGATGAATAAAAGTTGGAAAAATGTCGTTGTGGATATGTGGATGTCACCTGGGTATTTCATTTCAACAAAATTAAAGAAAGGGAAAATGACTTGATAGGGTAAGATACTTTTTGAAATGTACACATTTAGTTCTTATTCTTTTTTTTTTTTGTAAAATAAACTCTTTCACATCAGCAAAACCTGTAGAATCCGGTGAAAATAACCTAATGTGTACATATTAATAAAGTATAAGGGTTTATTTAAAAAAAAAAAAAAGAAAAAAAAGAATAAGGCCTAAATGTGTACATTTCAAAAAATATATTACCCTATCAAATCATTATCCCTAGGGATGAGCATATGGACCGGGGAACCGGCCGGAACCGGAACCCGATGGAACCGGTCAGGCCAGGACCGGGACGTTATTTTTGTGGATTTTTGGAACCGAGAACCGGTAGAACCGGCAAAAACCGGTAAAATCGGCAAAAATCGGAACCGTATGATGCCATTTTTCGAGGACCGATTCTAACATTTGAAGACACGACAACAACCGGTAGGAACCGGTAGAACCGCCGGCCGGTTCGGTTCTTGATTTTGGCCGAAGCCGGTTCCCTGGTCCGGTTCGGTCCTTTTGCTCATCCCTAATTATCCCTACACAAAAAGGAATCAATAAGTAACTTAATTTTTAACAAGAGGATAAAAACACATAATTATTAATTGTTGGGCAAATGGGAGATATAAATCATATAATCACTCTAACTAATTGATAAGTATTTACAATATATCGGTCTTTTGGTATCCACTTTCAAATAGAATTACTTTGTTTTTATTACAAAAATGTCATTTTTCTTCAATAAAATAGAAGAGTTCGAATATGTGTTTTAAGTTTAAACGGTTTTAGGTGATTTTCATAAAATCACCTTATTTTTTGTAAGAGACAACTCATCAAGTTTGTCATCATCAAGGGATGGATTGTTGATGTGAGTGTACATAAATTGTATTTAATTATTAGTTAATAACAACTATCATTGTCTCATTGTAATTTATAAAAGAACATTATGCAAGCTAGTGACCTCAACCGAAAAAAATCAAACAAAAATTGGAATGAGAAGTGTGGTTCACCATATATTTTTTGTGCCATAAGATTCAAGTCAGATATATACAACCCGAGCATTTTGAAGGATTAATTCGATGTTAAAAACACATTGGTAAACAACTGCAAAGTTAATCCTAGACGGTGTGTGGTGATGCTTTTTATAAAAACCTAAACTTTTTGTTCATAACAAATGTGTTAAAGGGAAAATGTTATTCGAAGTTGGTATATAAGTCGATAGTCCAACATTCCCCTTTGGGAACTCAAATGTCAACAGTCATTTGAAATAGATTTTTTGTTGAACGGATCCTTTGACTCGTCAAGAACGGTTGACAATATAGAAGGAATGTTGATTGAAGGAGATTCTAATCAAATCTTCATAAAGGCTTTTAAGATCTTTTTCAATTTTGACACCCAAGGTTTTGATAATACCAAAAGAAATTCTTTGCCTCCTAATTCTATACCCTTTTCTCAAACACCTTGAAGTTATTACATTGACATTTTCACATATTAAGTCTCCACTTACCGTTTATTATTTGTGTGCGTGATCACACATTATCTTCTAGTCAAGAGATTAGTCTTTTATTAAGGTTTTCACTAGGGGTGTCAATTTATGACACGACACGATAAAAATACACGAAACGAAACGAAATCGAGACAAAATCAAAATTCGAATTCGTGTTCGTGTCGTTTTCGTGTCAAGATTAAAAAACACGATGTCGTGTCGTGTCGTGTTCGTGTTCATAAATCAACACGGAATTGACACGATTAAGCATGTGGTTGTCGTGTTTTTCGTATTTGTCGTTTTTGTCGTGTTATATATCTGTAAGTATGAACGAAATACACTAATAGTTATGTAATATTATCTTTGTCGTGTCGTGTCGTGTTGTCGTGTTTTAATTGGTTCGTTGTCGTGTTAATGAAAAAAAACACGACATCGTGTCGTGTCGTGTTCGTGTTATACAAAACCTTGTCGTGTCGTGTCGTGTCAGACAAATACACGACACGACTGCCCGATTTGACAACCCTAGTTTTCACTCCACCAAAAGAAAAGAAGTGATCTTTAGTGGATTTAGTGGATTTGTTTAACAAGTCAATCAGAAAAATGGTCGTAGCCTCATATTCAAGTTGAACCACTCTACGGTCTATATTGTGGTTTTCCATTTGAAATTCTCCTCTATATTATTTTATGTATTGCAACTTTTGTTCTCTTGATTACGAGTATGTGTAGTTTTGTACTAC